TTATTTTGTTGAGAAATCATTTTGAAAAATACTCTGCAGTATTTCTAACGAAGAATAAAACCGGATGACCACACACAAATGCCACATAAAAACCATCTTCTTTATTCAAGTATTTAAAATCTTCATAATATTAGACAACATCACAGGAAACCCCAGGGAAGCCTATTGACGTGTTTTACACCACTGGGTGCTTAATTATAATAATTTTCTCCCTTAAAATAATCCCCCCTTGCATTGCTATACACATCCATCGTGAGTAAGGGCAGAGGATTCATATAGCATTTACTACCTGGAGACCATCTGTCCTTAGCTCAGGCATGCAGGCAAGAGGGTGTGCTTAGCTATTTTTTCCATGAGACAAAAGAAAAAAATGCCCATGCAGACTCCTGGGGTGTATGACAACATTTTGGCCTAGGCCAGAAACCAGGCAGCAATTGAAGAAATGTAAAAAAAGTTTTAAACAAGTAAATGTAATATATTTTCCTATGTATTTACTAAGGCTAGCAGAATAGGAATCATGCTAGTAGTTAATAGTTCATGTTGATTGAGACAGTGTAATTCTGCTTTATTCAGTAATGTAATGGAGTACGGTTAAATATGAGATCATTTAAAACTGAACTTCAGGCAGATATGTAAGGCACATATATTTACATATTTAGAGCCGTTAATAAATCATTACATTTGTTTTTTTTAAATTACAATTAGGCTACTTTCACACTGATCCACCGCAAAAACACAGCAAAAATGCATAGGAGTTTTTACTGCGCTTTTGCCGTGCCTTTTTTTGCTGAGTGTTTTTTAAAGGACACGCGACTTAAAAACTTCACCAAAAACACTTCTCAGGGACAGTTTTCAGGCGTTTTGCATTGATTTTAATAGGAAGAGGCATTTTTGGGGCGTTTTTTTTAACTCACCAAACATACCCCAAAGATGCTGCAAGCAGGAGTTTTTACACTGCAAGCACAACGCCTGTGTGTGAAAAGATGCATAGATATACCAGGGGCGGACTGACAACTCATGGGGCCCCCGGGCAATAGGGGATCATGGGGCCCCTGTGTCCTTGCCCACACTCAAAGCACACCCAAAAAAAAGCCTATAAAAGGTACCAGGGGCATTTCATGGGGCCCCCTACTGACCCCAGCCACTCGGGCAGTGCCCGAGAGCTTGAATGGTCAGTCCGCCCCTGAGATATACATTCACATACATAGGGAAGCATTTTTCTTGAGCTTTTCAGGCGCTTTTTTTAAATGCAAAAACGCTTCAAAAACTCCTCAGTGTGAAAGTAGCCTAAGTGTAAGCACCTGAATTTGATTTGGCATCAGCCTCTTGAAGTTCCAATACAGCACAGCTCAGACTAGGAGAGGAAGAAGCAGCACAAAAATCCAGCTAGTTGAACTACAGTGCTAATGTGCTAACAACAGAAATGTTGGTAGGAGAAGAGAGCAGAACGGCAAAGAAATGAGCTCATCAGTCTTCTGCTACCTCTCTCACTGTCACTTCATTGGGTTGCCCTATGCAGTTTGTCACCCAAAGTTCCCTCCAATTCTTAGGTGACAAGCTTAAGAATAATTTTGACCCTACTATCTAAATGTCACGGCAACCAGTCTGCCCATTCTCCTCTGACATCAACAAGGCATTTTTGTCCACACAACTGTCACTCACTGGATATTTTCTCTTTTTTGGACCTTTCTCTGTAAACCCTAGAGATGGTTGTGTTTTTGAAATACTCAGACCAGCCAGTTTGGCACCAACAACCATGCCATGTTTAAAATCACTTCAAGCGGAGCTCCACCCAAAAGGGGAAGTTCCGCTTCTAGCCTTTGTCCCCCGCTCCCCATTAAGGATTGGCACCTTTGGGGAGCGGGTACCCAAATTTGACAGATACCTGCTCCCACTTCTGCTGCGATCGGAAACGGAAGTTGTCCTCCCCCTTCCCTCCCCGTAGTCTTCTGGGACATGTGACAGGTCCCAGAAGACTACAGGGCCATCCACAAAGCTCAGTGATACTCGCACATGCACAGTGGCATCGGCAGTGAAGCCGCAAACTTTCACAGCCGGGTGCCCACACTGAAGATGCCGGCGCCAGGGAGAGAAGAAGGCTGGTGAAACCAGCAGTTGTGAGGACACCGCTGGACCGAGGGACAGGTAAGTGTCTGTATTTTAACCATTTGCCGCCCGCCCTATGGCCGAACGGCCGGCGGCAAATGTCTTCAGCATTCTGGGTGGATGCCATATGGCGTCCTCCCGCACATGCGCAGATTGCGCTCCTGCAGAGCGGCGCAGCGGCATGATCTGTCACCGGCCATGTACCTCGGACACGGCCGATGACAGATCTGAGTATCGGCCCCCGTTGCTAGTACCATGTGACCTGCTGTGACCAATCACAGCAGGTCACATGACAGTTGTATACAATAGATGGCTTCATTCATGCTATCCATTGTATACTACTGCCTAGCTGTGAATGGTGTGCATGTGATTAGCTGTGGCCAAATCACAGCTAAGCACAAAAAAAAAAAAACCCCTGAATGAATCGATGTCATTCAGGTAAATGCTTTCTTATAGCACAGTAATTCTTTGCTATAAGCAAATTGTGTAAAAAAAAACAAAATACTGATTAGTGATCACTTCCCCAAAAATAGTACAATTTTTTTTTTCATATGTCACCAGTCAATGCCAGTTGTACTACTGCACTGGTTATGGTGAAACTAATTTTTTTAATTTTTTAATTTTCCGTGAAAAATTATGAAAAAAAAAATCTTAAAAAAAAGAAAAAAAATTTACTAAAAAATTTGGGGGAATCTGTAAAAAAAAGAAATAAAGAAAAAATATATATATTTTTTTTTTTCATACTGTCACCAGTCAGTGTCCGTTGATGCCAGTTTCCTATAAAAAATGATTTGGGTTACGCTGTACATGCTGCAGAATACTCTTGGCCTGACAATATGTAAAAAAAAAAATTATTTATTTGCAAACTTTTATAACAGAAACAAAGAAAAAACGTTTTTTTTTTTTTTTTCAAAATTTTTTCTTTTTTTGAAAATTTAGACAAAAAAAAAAACCCCACTTCAAAAAACTCGCCATGCTCTATGAAGTACGAAAATGACTATCTACTTTGGGTAAAAATGACCGCGGGTCATTTGGAGGGCTGAAACTGTACTGGCTGACATTCTTGAAAAATTGACAATTTATGATTGGAAAAGCTTTACTTAGATTTCTATAAAACAATTGTTTTTTCCAGAAAGTAAGACTACAAGAGCACCCCCCATTATCATATTTGCCATGTCACGTAAGCAGGAAATGAAAATGATTGAAGTGACAAAAGATTTCCCCCTAAAACTTTAAAGAATAGATGAAGTATTTAGTTAATTGTGTCATGTTCACCTCCCCTAGGTGTGGAATGTTGGCCAGCAGGAAACTCATTTAGCTGAACATACTAAAAACAGCTCCTTTCATGTTCAGCTCTGCAGTAACATCCCACAATTTCACTGGCCATTCACTTCAAGCGCTTTTTGCTTTTCCTGATTTTATCTGGCGAGCAGAACTCCCATGTCAAGAAACATACACTGTGCTGTCATCCCAACTTTTTTTTTGGCAGACATGTCTGTTCAGGTAGAACAGGTCTTTCAATATCTGTGTTAAGTATCAACAGGAAAGATGACAGGATGTTTTAGGTTGTTTATATAAAAACATGCATTGTTACGTTTCACGTTTTAAAGCTCATGTTAAGTACTTCAGAATAAGTGATATGTCATTTTTTGATTGGAGGCAATGCAGGAAAGGTCTTTTGAGGATACAGAAAGAAATGGTTTAAAGTGTTACTAAACCCAGGACCCTGCATTCACTATATCTGGTCTCCCACAGTACACAGAACATGGAAGTGCAATTATTTTAGTAAAAATAAACCGCTAAATACCTTTCCTCATCAGCAGTTAGAGCAGTCTTGTGACTAGCAGTTCTATCAGTGTCCAGTAGAGCACTGGTTAAAGCTTGTAGGAGAAGTTTTCTTTTTGCTCTAGTAGGCTGCAAAACCCCTGACCCTCTGTCTAACCAGTGCTGATTGGCCCTGTGCTGATCACATGCACTCTCCCAAGAAAAAAAAAACAACTCTCTAGCAATACACACTAAACTGAGCATGTGCAGAAAGGCTACGGGTTCAGTCTGTCTTATCAGCGTGGACATTTGAACAAGAAAGAGTGGCAGAGACGTCAGGATCAAACAGCATTTTTACACAATTCAGAGGATTAACCCTTTAGATTCCACAGTGATTATAACCAGCATGCGTTACTGCATATACACACTGATTTTACTGTTGTGGGTTTAGTAACACTTTAAGTGTTCATTATAAAGTGCTGCGGGGACATAGAGAGAGTGAAAGTGAATGATTTATTTCTGAATAGCTAGGGATGTGTATAACTAGGCTAGGCTCACAATATTGCGTGTCGGGAATGCACACATAATCACATGCAACACAACCCTCCTCTCTAGCAATACACACCAAACTGAGCATGTGCAAAATGCCTACAGTTCAGTCTGTCTTATCAGGAGATAAAAGGCGGTCGCTTGAAAAAGGGGAGGAACAGAGAAGAAGGGATCAAACAGCCTTTTTACACAATTCTGGGGATTAACCCCTTAGGTTCCACAGTGCGTATAACAAGCATGCTTTACTGCAGATACAGACTGATTTTACTGTTGTGGGTTTAGTAACACTTTAAGGGAAATACAGTTCTTAATGAGGGAAAATTGAAGGCAAGTGTCGCACCTGTGAGCGTGTGTATGTCACATTGCATGGCTCCAACACATAGCACATTTATTCTGTGACTTGTTTAATAAAAGGAAGAATGATAACAAAGAATAATGTTATCTGGTCACATATTCATTTCTGTTTCCTACAGCGTGATTCGCTGCTTGCTACAGCACCCTGCAAAACTTTTCATTGGAAACACTGGAACTCAATATTTTGGAGGAGTGTACACATACTTTTGGCCTTAGGCTCCATTCACACTGCTTATCACTGCTGATGAGAAAAGGTAATTAGCAGTTTATATTTACTAAAATAATTGCATCTCCCTGTTCTGTGTACTGTGGGAGAGCAGATATGGTAAGTGCAGGGTCCTTTAGTAAAACTTTAACTCTAACCCCTTGCCCTAACAAAAAAAAAAAGAATAATAATATTAAAAAAAGAAATAAAAGCTGATGGAAAAGCTGAATAACCTAGCAACAAATCCAGCAGATGAATTTTTTTCTCTATTGGCTAATAAATTTTTTTTTCAAAAATGCCTAAAAACGGTGAATGAAAAGTGAAAATTGTGCAAAAAATCGTGCGCAAAAATGCACGAAAATCGCTTAAATTTGTTACAATCAGGTGTGAATGCAGCCTAGGTGTGATGGTTAAGTTTACACAAACCTTTGGCCATATAATGTCATATAATGTACAAGTCTGAACATGAAACATCATTATCAAAATATGGATTCTTAAGCATATGAAATGGAAAAGTAGCATAAAAAATAGTTTCCACATTACAATAATTAGTTATGTTGAATAAGTCAAAATTAGAATGGTGTGCAAAGATATATAAACAAAAATGCACGGTGACCCACATTGGACACATGCATTGTGCCTGTGATTTTGGGATGCTTCCATTTATTTGTAATAGGCCCCCCAACATTCATGCATGCAGTAAAAAAAAAACACACATAACTCTCAACCCAAAAGGGATACATCTGGAAACACAGACACCAGGGTTGACTTACTAACACTGGAGGGTGCAAAATCTGCTGCAGTCATGAATGGTATCCAATCAGCTTCTAACTTCATCTTTCAATTAACCACTGGCCTACCAGAACTTTTACCCCCTTCCTGCCCAGGCCAATTTTCAGCTTTCAGTGCTGTTGCATTTTGAATGACAATTGCACGGTCATGCAACACTGTACCCATATTAAATTTGTATAATTTTTTTCACAAAAATAGAGCTTTCTTTTGGTGGTATTTTCACCACTGGGGTTTTTATTTTTTTTCACTATAAACAAAAAAAGAGCAAAAAATTTGAAAAAAAAAAAAAAAAATAAACGTTTTCTTTGTTTCTATTATAAAAATTTGTAAACAGGTAATTTTTTTCCTTCACTGATGTGCATTCATGAGGATGCACTGATAGGCAGCACTGATGGGCACTGATGAGGTGGCACGGATAGGCAGCACTGATGGGCACTGATGCACACTGATAGGCAGCACTGATGGACACGGATAGGCTGCACTGATGAGGTGCCACTGATGAGGTGGCACTGGTGGGCATTGATGAGAAGGCAGTAATGATGCACTGATATGCAGTAATGATGGGCACTGATAGGTGGCTCTGATGGGCACTGTTAGGCGGGACTGATGGGCAGTGATAGGTGGCACTGACTGATAGCACTGACTGGAGGCACTGACTGGCAGCACTGCTAGGTGCCACTGCTAGGCACTGATGGGTGACACTGCTGGGCACTGATGGGCGACAATGATAACCAGGGCACTGATAATCAGTGCAGATGTCCTCTGTCACATTTGCCAGTTATCGGCAATAAAGTGGAGGAAAGTGCTGCCGATAACCGGCAAATGTATTTACTTTGTGATCTGCTGTGTCATTGGACACAGCTGATCACATGGTAAAAGGCTGCTGTGATTGACCTTTAACCTTGTTATGTGATCAGCTGTGTCCGTAGGACACGGCAATCACTGACAGCACCGGGTGCATGCCGCTGGAGGCGTGCAGGGGGCGTGTTCTGGGAGGACATCCATGGACCCCCTTCCAGAACTAGACAACTGCGCCGTAGTGTAGCCATCTTTCGGCTATAGCGCGGTTGGAAAGCAGTTAAGATTTGACAATAAAACCTGAAAGCTGATTAGTTCCTATGCACAGCTGCACCAGATTTTACACTCTCCAGTTTTAGTAAATCAACCGCACCGTGTTGTAGTGCACAAGGAAATAAATGGCAGATGCATTTTTTTGTACATAGATGATTTTTAAGGGTCCATAGAAAATGAATGGGCACATGTGCTACTATGCACATAGAGACATAAGGCAACGGGCACGCTTAGGTATAAGTGGGCCCTCAAAAGAGATTGGATATTGTTGTTCATAGCTACCAATCAAATGTTGTCCTTTATGTTTCCAGAATTGTATACAAACTGAATAGAAAATAACTTGAATGATTTGAACAGGAATTTCTATAACTTCTTCCCGTCAGCTGCACGGATCTCAGCGGGTGAGCCTTAACACAGAGAGGCCACATATATGTGTACCCAAAAAAACGAAGTTACCGGCGGCTAATGGAAAGCTTTCTGATCATGTGACCTCAGAGACAGCCAATCATGGTGGCCACATGATCACAAACCGCTGTCCTGAATCTGAAACCCCTTAACCTCCCTGGCGGTATGATTATTTCCAATTTTTGGTGCTGAAAGCGGTACCATTTTTTTGCATGGAAATATGTAGTTTTTTATTGTAGGCTATAATTTTTAGGAATAACTCACTGAAATCTGTACGAACAAGAGTCTAGTAAACATTCCGGATATGATAAAACTTGAAACACGAAATCATAAATTATAATTTAATTAATAATCATAAAAAAATAATAATATAATAATAATAAATTTAATTCAATAATATAATCAAACCAAAAACACTGAAATTTGAAATACAGGGGCAAATTCGCACATCGCTGAGCAAAGTCGCAAAATCGTTTTCAGTGTCTGATGACGAATTTCCCCACAAATCATTATCACTCAATTTGCAAGTGGTTCTAATTTACTATCGCTGTTCTCTAGCTGGTCTAAAACCTTTTTTGACATAAAGGGACGCTTTTTGGACGCCATGTACTTTTGTAAGTTTCCAGGCAGAAAGAACAGTCAAAATGCAGGCAGGGCACAGGACAAAGCACTCGGGACAAAATATATGTGAAATGCATTGAAACAGCAATGTTTTACTATATAATAATCATTTTTAAAAAAATTTTTTTAAAAATTTCAAACTTGCCGCCGGTTCCGGCGCCCGTACATCCCGACGTCACAGGTCCAGGAACACGGAAGCCGTATGCTGGCATCAGCCGGAGGAGATGGCCAGTGACGCTGCAGGGGACACATCGCGGGAGGGAAGGACAAGGTAAGTTCTGCAGGGACTCCCTGAGCAACGCCGCATGGTAAACCCGAGTGTAGCTCGGTGTTACCGCTTGTGGTACTGAAATTTTACCCCGAGCTACACTCGGGAATACCGCCAGGGAGGTTAAAAGGCCCGGAGGCGCCGGCACCAAGGGGTTAAAGAGCTGCATACTTAGAGCAGCATTTCATGTCAGCAACAAGATCACCAGTAACAATCGCTCTTCATTCACCTCTATAACTTAGCTACAAATCTCTGAAGGGATGTGATTTGTAGCAGAGCACACCAACCCTATGCTGTAGCACTAGTTTAGCTTGTAGCAGTGACAAATCACAATTCATCTCTGTTACAAAAGCCCCTTCTGACATGGCCCTGTGCCCAGACTATGGGCAGAAAACCTTTTGAAGAATAAGCCTATTGACACTTGGCAAAGGCCCTAGAGAATAAAATGCTGCTTGCTGCAATTTTTTTATGTCACAATATTTGCATAGCAGTTTTTTTTGGGAAAAAAAATACACATTAATGAATTTTAATGCAAAAAAAACACAATATAAAGCCCAATCTTTGGTAAAATATATAAGATGGCGTTATGCTGAACAAATATATACCTAACATGTCACGCTTTAAAATTGCACTTGCTTGTGGAATGGCGACAAACTGCAATACCTAAAAATCTCCATAGACGACGCTTGAAAAAATGTTCTAGGTTACCAGTTTAGGGTTACAGAGGAGGTCTAGTGCTAGAATGATTGTTCTCACTATAACATATGCACTGATACCTCACATGTGTGGTGTGAACACTGTTTACATATGCGTGTGCGACCTATGACTATTCGTACTTTCTGCAGGTGTGCATGGAGGGAGGGGGCATTTTAAAAGAAAATGTTTTTTGTTTCATTTTTTTTTGTTTACACTGTCCCTTTATTTTTTTTATCACTTTCCTATCACAAGAAATGTAAACATCCCTTTTGATAGAAATAAGGGATGACAGGTCCTCTTTATGGAGACATTTGGGGTCAATAAGACCCCAGATCTCTCCTCTACCTTGGAAAGCATGAAATCAATAATGAAAAAAAAACATTGATCTCATGTTTTAACTACTTGCCCTCCAGAGGATTTACCCCCCTTCCTGACAAGGCCATTTTGCTGGTGCGGTTTTTATTTTTTGCGCTATAAACAAAAAAAGATGAACAATTTTGAGAAAATACAATATTTTTGACTTTTTGCTATTAACCACTTACCTTCCTGAAGATTTACCCCCCCTTCCTGACCAGGCCATCTTTTGCGTTACGGCTCTGCATTATTTTAACTGACAATTGTGCAGTCATGCAGCGCTGCATTGAAATGAAATTTACGTCCTTTTTTCCCAAGAATTGAGCATTCTTTGGTGGTATTTGATCGGCTGTGCGGTTTTTTATTTTTTGCGCTATAAAAAAAAAGCGTCAATTTCTAGAAAAAATTTTTTATTTTGGACATTTTGCTATTAAACATGTCCAGTAAAAAAATTTAAGAAATCAAATTTCATCATACATTTACGCCAAAATGTATTCTGCTACATCTTTGCTAAAAAAAAATCCCAATACGTGTAAATTAATTGTTTTACATGAAATTTATAGTGTTTACAAATGGCGATATAGATACTGGGATTTTTTTTCTACTAGTAATGGCGGCAATCAGTGACTTTTAGTGGGACTGCGGTGGACATTTTGACACTGGGGGGAACTGACTTGGTGTCACTGACATCCCCAGTGACTCTAATACAGTGATCAGTGCTAAAAAAAAAGCACTGACACTTTACTAATGGCACTGGGCAGGAAGGGGTTAATATGAGGGGTTAACTATGTGTAGGGAGTGTTTTACTAGGGGGCGTGTGCTTCACTGTAAGCACACTGCTCTGGATGGCTGTGCTGAGCAGTGTTCCGTGCACAGCCATCCAGAGCAGTGTGCCCGAGCCAACAGGGAGGAAGACTGT